ATAATAAGAGTTTCAGTCTTGTTTGCATTTAACTGCAGGTAGTTGTTCTGCAATATTTTGACTGCTGACAGACAGTTAATGAGTTCAGATAGTTTGAAGAACTCAGAGGGTCGAAAGGAACAGTACAACTGTATGTCATCAGCATACAGATGGTGTGACACATTACTGTAATGTTTTAAAATACCTCCTAAAGGGTACAGGTACAATAAAAAGAGGATTGGGCCCAAAACTGAACCTTGGGGTACCCCACAAGACAGCGGTACAACATCAGAGTAAACCTGATTCATAAAAACATTAAAAGACCGTTCAGATATAAATAAGAGGTGAACCAGTTTAACACAGAGCCAGAAATACCAAAAATCTGTGTCTGGTTTAGCTGTGAGACTTTTTTTGTCGAACATCCCCACCTCTAAGTATTTTATTTATTTTTTTTACTAAATAAGATCYGGAGCAGGTTTGATTTAAATGTTTAGAACGTTTGACCTTTTCCAGTTTTCTCCATCTTTGTTGGAGAGCAGTGTGGGCTGATTGTGGTGTCCTCGCAGCGACCCGCTGACACACGTTTGCATCAGAGCTGAAGGATTTTTACACAAACTGAAAGGCTGCAGACAGAACCGTTCACAGCATCTGTTGCTTTTTAAACCAGTTTATGGAAGAAAAACCTCGAGTTTGCAAACAGTCACAGTGGAGTTAAAAACACATGTGCATATTTAGCTTTTTTTTACCTGAATATAAACAAAAAGAGGTTTCACATCAGAACTTCATGCTGCTCATCATGTTTTACCTTCATATCTTATATCTTGTAAATATTTGGTATTTTCAAACAAAAAAGTGATGAAATGATTTTATTGTTCAAGTCTGCTTGTCTTCAAATAAAAAGACTAAAATTTCTCCTTTAAATGCATTTAATAAAATTTTTGCCCTAATGCCCAACAACTGTAGAAAACTTTATTAAAAAGAAACTAATGTTGCTGATTCAGGGTCGTGTTTGTGACTTTACAGAAGCTGCAGGRCAAACAGTCATTTTAATGGAATGAATAATTAAGGCTGAAGGGTTAGAAAATGAATAACCCTGTTCTGCTTCTCTCATGGCTTCCTGTCCACTTGCAAATTGATTTTAAGACTTTTTTGTTGGCTTTTAAAGATTTTAAACAAGGAGCCAAACTCCAGAGACCAGTTTCTCCTGTTCCTAAATCCAAACTAAAATTCAGGAACCTTTTTTTATTTTTGGTCCACTGAGACCGAGGTTTTTAAATCTTTGTTGAAGCTTTTACATCTTTGAGTTTTTAAATCTTTGAGGTTTTAAAATCTTTGAGGTTTTAAAATCTTTGAGGTTTTAAAATCTTTGAGGTTTTAAAATCTTTGAGGTTTTAAAATCTTTGAAGTTTTGAAATCTTTGAAG